CGACCTGGCTGCCGAGATAGGTCGATCTTCTACTCAGCCATCGATATATGGTCGAAGTTTTCGTTATATAGAAGACGATTAAACACGATTTGTTTTTAATCGATTCTAAAAAAACTAAGGTAATTTTTAGCCACTTCAAACTTGCATATAATTAGACTAAAATTGAAGGGGCTATAAAACTGAGTGCTCAAAAAAATTCTAACACTTCTGAGAAAAAAGTTTGAATTTTGGTTGAAAATTTGTTGTATTTTTTGTAGTTTTCTACGAAGTTTTAAAATTCGGTTTATATGAGTTTTGTTAGAAATTCAACTTTACTTTTGTTGCAAATTCTTAGCAATAAATAAATTAACATGAGAGGGAAATAATATTACTTTGAAATGGGGTTTGCTCATTGATATGGCCGATACTGTATGTATATAATAAATTTTGTACAATTAAAAAAGTGGATTTACTAAAATGAACACAACGTATTAATTACAAATTCTGAAATATGTCGTCAATTTCAAAAACAAATAAATAAAACTTTAAAAAGTAGTCAATGCTTGCTGTATGACACGAACTTGGATATACGTGGACTTGGGTAATGTATAATTCCTTATATGATTCCTCAAAGTATCCCTTGTATAACACTGTGGAACACAAAAAAACCTTAGTGCGACTATATCAGGTTTGATAGCTGGTGGCCATACCAATAATGCCTCATACTAAGATTTACTAGATCAATTCGTGTTCTCCGTGAAAAAAAATTTTCACGATCCAAACATCCAAAGTTTGAACATTTATCGTTTTTGGCCTTTATTTTGTTGAAAATACCATACAAAGCAAATATAGGGCAAAAAACAAAGAATTTTCAAAATTTTGAGAAAAGAATTTGGCGGCTATACTCAGATTTTTGAATCGTGAAATTTTTTTTTCTCGAGAACACGAATTGATCAAGTAAAACTGAGCATGAGGCATTATTGGTATGGTCAACAGCTATGAAACCTGATATATGCGCACAAGAAGCCTATATGAAAGAGGGGGACAAAAGATCACACGTAAATGAATTCCTCTTTTTGGCCTGTACAATATAAGGGACACATTCCAAATTCATAAGGGATAATTTTCTTAGTGATACGGCTCATAAAAGGAATTATATAAGCCATACTGTTCTAGCTGGGTATTCATTAGCTCGAAAATTTTAAGCATATTATCATATTCCTGTGAATAAAAACACGCCTAATTTTATTATTTTAATTATCTACAATTTTATGAGACTACCAAGCCATATATATACCTATTCTGATAATCGGAACGCTGTTGAGAAGGCATACAATTTAGTACTTTTTCAACTAAAAGGCTTTTTTTTATTCCCGTTTATCTTGTACTTCCAAAATACAATATTGACCTAAGGTAGTTCGATTTCGCGCTGTCACAACGTACAACACCTTTCATTATTGCATCATGTGTGAAGCCTTCGTCTGACTTAACGGTTGTCAAAGGCATGCCAGAAGATGTTTCATCATATGTTTTCGGCTATCGTCTTCTTCGAGTGTGTTCATCGATACCAAAAACTTTACAACCTATATGTGGCAGCAGCCCTTAGTGTTTTTGCCAATGACATGGTACGACTGCACTGTTAATAACCAAATTAAGCCGCAGTTGCATTCACACGTGATATAATAGCTAGTGTCGGCAAGCTGTGGGAATGCCCAGGAGATGGCGTTTGTTCAGCTATCGAAATCATTACACCGACGGCGGTGGGCAGTTCTGCTGGAACATATTTACCACAGCAGTGGTTGAGGCGTTTTGTTCTGCAACAATAGCCTGCAATGATGACATGTCCTATAATGTTGACGAACAAAGATATAAAATTGAAAATGACTAACCTTATTCCCGGCTAATTTGGGAGACCACCCTTGGTCACGACCAGAACGCATCTACCAAGAGGAAAAACCGCAGGGATTGCAGTAGTTCTTGCAATCACCGTTGATGATGCAGTGCTTGTAATTAATAGTCTGAAAATACAAAAAATTGCATTAATGAAATCTTATACACATCAAATAAATAAATTTCAATAATTTCTTTACCATTTCACAAACCGAATTACCAAGAAATAGAAACTCACCGCGATGCGATACAGAAATAAAAACCAACAGGGCTGCATTTTCTTGGTAAACAACACAAGCGCTCAGAGCAAACTGATCCGCCAAATTATTTTGTGAAAAATAATAGTTGAAAAGAGTTTTTACACATGATTATCACATTAACTCATAAGTGCAAATTATTGTGATTATTACCTTAGACTTTTTTTAATTGTTTTCTAATACTCATTCTTTTGGGACGCAAAAGCAACCATGCGCTCAATTTCTTGTGGGGAAATTTGGTCCCCATAAAGGACTTTCACCACGAAACAGCTACAAAAACAAAAACCTTTTCTACTGGTATACTGTGATACATAGATACATATGTATTTATGTATTTAGGTACTTAGGTTTTACATACAAATCGGTATGTACTTACGTGCATATTTAATTAAGCTTAAAACTGTATTTCCTCACTCTAGTACTTCACTTCATTGACTGGCTTCAACTTCGCTGCAAATTGAACAAAGCAAAACATGATTTGTAAGCGAGACAAATTTCCATAGAAAGTAACGATAGAAAAAGAATTTTTGGATATTCATTCTATTTTTCAGCTAACTACGATGCAGCATTCTACTTTGCATTCCCCGAAATGAAGCAAAGAAGCGAAATAAAAAGAAAAATATTGTAGGACATTCTACTTTGCATTCCCTTAAATGAAGCAAAGAAGCGAAACAAATAAAATATTGTAAGACATTCTACTTTGCATTCCCTGAAATGAAGCAAAGAAATGAAACAAATAAAATATTGTAGAACATTCTAATTTGCATTCCCCGAAATGAAACAAAGAAGCGAAATAAATAAAATATTGTAGGACATTCTACTTTGCATTACCGGCAATGCCTAAAAGAAGCGAAAAAATTCGAAGGCATTATAACGCTATGCCTTCTAGAACACGTTATCACTAAAAGCGATTACCCTTTTTTTGCTGAGACTGTACAAACATAAATATTTAGAAGCAAAAAGACAGAAGGTACAAAAACTGCAAAGATATGTATGAAAATCTGAGGAACGATTTTGTTCTGAAAGGATTAGGGTTGTAGGAAAGAAAATTAGTTCCTGACTTATTCAAGGTTTCTCAATTTTTGAAATTTTTATTCAAGACAATCATAGCATTACGTTTTAAATTATTTTTTATAATTTACAGATCTCAAACGCGTATAAAGACTATACGGAAAATTGGATATTGAAGACCGGAGTATCATTACATAAAAAGTTGCAGTGCTTTTATGAAAATCGGAATTGTATAAATGCATCCTGCAACCACATGAGTTTAATAAGATGTGAAGGGATGAATAATTTTTCTTTCCACGTCTCATTATTCATCCTGCTCTGCATTATAACAGCTTTGAACTTCATGACCGTTGTAGCTTGGATGAAAGATGAAAGGTATGTAACACAAAAATGCCTGGTTATATCCAGTCCGTCGTAGCTCAACCAATTACTCAGAAAAATTAGTTTATTTCTGCTTATACAGCAACTAACTTTAAACTGATGTATAATCCTAGCAGCCTCATTGAGATAAACCAAATGCTTACACTTTTGATACTTATCTTTGCAATAGTTCAATATTAGTTTTAAAAGCGTCTAACTGCGGCAATTAACTATTTCAGTATGAAAAGTCATACTGACTTTGAATTGCTTTAAGCCAAATGCATTTTAAAGTAGTTGAAATCAAATGCAGAGTCGAGCAATCGACTTGCTGCTTGCACACAATTAAAACTGAACATTTCAAAGCACATTGACATGTCTGACTGTAGCCGAGCGGGCAATGATTTTTGCTACAATTGGTCGCGGCCAAGAATGTTAAAATCTCACTAGGCGGAACATTTAATTTCAAATTTTTAATTTCGGTTTTTCTTAATTATGAAAATCTGTGAAGTGTAGAACGAAAGCGTAATCAAATGACTGACTTTAAAGTACTTTAAGCCAAATGCATTTTAAAGTTTACCGGGATTTAGATACAAAAACCAATTTAAATGAGTAATTCTGCGAAATATTTGCGTAATATATATACTTATTTAAAATATACGTCACGTATATAAGGAAACAAAAATTTCCCTCTCCACTTTCCCATTAACAATTCACAATAGAGCAGTTTTTTCACTTAACAACACCATTCTTCAGGTCGCGTATTTCTTAACCGACCTGGCTGAACCCGGATAAATAGCCGAGTTTGTGTGGTTGTTTTGCGTGTATTTCGTCATTTAAGCGAGTGTTTTTTTGTAGCTCGGTTGCAAAAGAATGTACCTAGTATTTTAGTTTGAATTCAATTTCAAAAAAAGCATTTTCTAGAAACTGTACCACAAAACAAACTATGTTAGTCTATTCGACAAGCATTATTGTTCTGGGGTTAACTTGAACGCGTTGCTGAGGTGCCAATTGCATGGCTAATTCTCAATCCTTGTGAACTGCGACTGCCTGAGCCAATGTTTAATCTTACTATCTGCGGCATAATGGTTTTCAAACACTGAAATTACAATGTCGAAGAATTCGAACCATAACCGAAAAAGAAACGCAAGCGCTAAATTTTCTCATTTTGTTTTGTTGATAAAAATTGCATCATATCCAGCAACTGTTATGTAGCAGCAGGTCTGTTGCAAGGGCGAGTGGCAAGTCGGCATGCTTGCAGTCCCAGGCGTAGCTGATCGGTTGGGGTGGTTCTATGATTAAAAATCTTGCAGACTAGATTACACAGATTACAAAAATAAGTATTATGCGATAATAATTTTATTCAACAATTTTTATTGAGCTTGAGGCCGTTTTTTAATGAAAACTTATTGTAGAAAAGCAACAATAATTTGAAAAAATGGTAGAAGTGATAACTATTTCGGAAATCACCTCATTTCCTCATCAGACTTCTTTCAGTAGGATTCGAACCGACGATCCCACTGACTCAGCCAGTTGCCTACGCACTGTGCTAAGTTCGCCTTATCAATTCTTGTTGCTTATTTCCACTATTTTCACTTGTTAAGCCAACTACAATCACGCGCAGCTTTTCCGCTGCAATTCACTTTATCATGTGGTTGTTGGTTTTGTTGGTTTTTCTTAATATTTATATTATTAGAATGTTTAACTTTTAGGTGTGCTCGTCCTTAAGGTATCTGTTTTTTGTTATTTTATGGGCTTGTAACAATTATATTCAACAATTTTATTGAGCTCGAGGCCGATTTTTAATGAAAACTTATTGTGGAAAAGCAACAATAATTTGAAAAAATGGTAGAAGTGATAGCTATTTCGGAAATCACCTCATTTCCTCATCAGACTTCTTTCAGTAGGATTCGAACCGACGATCCCACTGACTCAGCCAGTTGCCTACGCACTGTGCTAAGTTCGCCTTATCAATTCTTGTTGCTTATTTCCACTATTTTCACTTGTTAAGCCAACTACAATCACGCGCAGCTTTTCCGCTGCAATTCACTTTATCATGTGGTTGTTGGTTTTGTTGGTTTTTCTTAATATTTATATTATTAGAATGTTTAACTTTTAGGTGTGCTCGTCCTTAAGGTATCTGTTTTTTGTTATTTTATGGGCTTGTAACAATTATATTCAACAATTTTATTGAGCTCGAGGCCGATTTTTAATGAAAACTTATTGTGGAAAAGCAACAATAATTTGAAAAAATGGTAGAAGTGATAGCTATTTCGGAAATCACCACATTTCCTCATCAGACTTCTTTCAGTAGGATTCGAACCGACGATCCCACTGACTCAGCCAGTTGCCTATGCACCGTGCTAAGTACGCCTTGTAAATTATCGTTTGCTTTTTTCCACTATTTTCATTTTTGTTATGCCAACACAATCAAGCGCAGCTATTCCGCTGCAATTCACTTGATCATGTGGTTGTTGGTTTTGTTGGTTTGTGCTAATAATTCTATTATTAGAATGTTTAACTTTTAGGTGTGCTCGTCCTTAAGTTATTGTTTTTTGGTATTTTGTGGCCTTATAACTATTATATTCAACAATTTTTATTGAGCTCACGGCCGCTTTTTAGTGAAAACTTATTGTGGAAAACAACAACAGCCACATGATTAAGTGAATTGCAGCGGAATAGCTGCGCTTGATTGTGTTGGCATAACAAAAATGAAAATAGTGGAAAAAAGCAAACGATAATTTACAAGGCGTACTTAGCACGGTGCATAGGCAACTGGCTGAGTCAGTGGGATCGTCGGTTCGAATCCTACTGAAAGAAGTCTGATGAGGAAATGTGGTGATTTCCGAAATAGCTATCACTTCTACCATTTTTTCAAATTATTGTTGCTTTTCCACAATAAATTTTCATTTAAAAAATGGCCTCGAGCTCATTATAAAATTGTTGAATATAATTGTTAAAAGGCCAAAAAATAACAAAAAACAAATAACTTAAGGACGAGCACACCTAAAAGTTAAGCATTCTAAAAATAGAATTATTAGCACAAACCAACAAAACCAACAACCACATGATCAAGTGAATTGCAGCGGAATAGCTGCGCTTGATTGTAGTTGGCTTAACAAGTGAAAATGGTGGTAATAAGCAACAAGAATTAATAAGGTGAACCTAGCACAGTGCGTAGGCAACTGGCTGAGTCAGTGGGATCGTCGGTTCTAATCCTACTGAAAGAAGTCTGATGAGGAAATGTGGTGATTTCCGAAATAGCTATCACTTCTACCATTTTTTCAAATGATTGTTGCTTTTCTACAAAAAGTTTTCATTAAAAAACGGCCTCGAGCTCAATTAAGATTGTTGAATATAATTGTTATAAGGCCATAAAATAACAAAAAACCAAAAAATACGATAATAATGTTAACATAACAGTACATGAACTCATGGGCGTAGCCAAAACGAAATTTCAAAACCAATAACTTACTAAAAAATTGTTGGTTATAGCTTAAAATTATTGTTACCAATAGAGGTAAATATGTTGTACAAAAACACATAAGCAGAAGTTCATAAAAGTTGATATAAAACTATTCCTCGCTTTAGATAGTTAACTTTTTACTGCGCATGTTTATTTTACGAGGAGGAAACATCGATAGCCTAACCCCGTCAGTGTGAGACTTTAACCTAAACTAAACTTCCTACCGTCATGTACGGTTCCCCTCCCGGTACCACCGTTAAGGATTTCGTCGGGATTATAACACTGTGTGACTGATAAGGTTATAGATTTTGGCCGAGTTCAACAAACCGCGCCAGTCGTTTATCCTCTGTGCCAACTAACGCCAATTGGAAATGCCAGGTGAAGCTTGAATACTTTCAGAGCTGGAGCGTCGGTGTCCAAGAGCCACCTCACCAGCACGGCCATGATGAGTGACTTATAGAGTGTGGTTTTCGTACGTCGAGAGAGGACTTTACTCCTGAATTACCTACTCAGCCCAAAGTAGTACTTGTTGTTGCGTTGGATTTCCATGCTGACATTATTATCGGTGTTAATACTGGTTCCTAAGTAAACGAAATTCTCTACTTTCTCGAAATTATAACTGCCAACAGTGACGTGGGTGCCAAGGCGCGAATGTGCTGGTTGTTTGTTTGATGACAGAAGATACTTCGTCTTGTCCTCGTTTACCACCAGACCCATTCGCTTTGCTTCCTTATTTAACTTGGAAAAGGCAGAACACACTTCGCGGTTCTTGATTTCGATGTCATCGACGTACGCCAGCAATTGCACGCTCTTGTAGTAAATTGTTCCTGAGCGGTTCAGTTCTGCAGCTCTTATTATCTTCTCCAACATCAGATTAAAGAAGTCACATGAAACGAAGTCGCTCTGTCTGACACCCCGTTTGGTGGCGTACGGCTCGGAGAGGTCTTTCCCAATTCTTCCAGAGCTGGTGGTATCGCTCCACGTCATTTTACACAGCCGTATGAGTTTTGAGGGGATGCCAAATTCAGAGATAGCGGCGTATAGGCAACTTCTTTTAGTGCTGTCGAAAGCGGCTTTAAAGTCGACAGATAGGTGGTGAGTGTTGATCCTTTTCTCGCGGGTCTTTTCCAAGATTTGGCGTATTGTGAATACCTGGTCTATGTTGGATTTGCCTGCTCTAAAGCCACACTGATATGGCCCAATCAGTTCATTGTCGGTGGTATTCAGTCTTTCACACAATACATTCGATAAGACCTTGCAACCTATGCTTAGAAGGCCAATCCCGCGGTAGTTGGCACGCATGGCGGGGTCGCCTTTCTCGTGGATTGGACAGAGCGCACTTGAATTCCAGTCGTCGGGCATGCACCTTATTAGCTCCTTGCCATCGTAATTGAATAGCTCATCTGACAGGCCGTCAGCTCAAGCAGTTTTGTTACCTTTCATCAGCATAATCGCTATTCGTACCTCGTCATAGTCAGGCGCTGGGATGTCGACTCCGTCGTTATCGACCGTCAGCTCAAGCAGTTTTGTTACCTTTCACCAGCATAATCGCTATTCGTACCTCGTCATAGTCAGGCGCTGGGATGTCGACTCCG